TTGAGTACGAACGGCTGACGATGAAGTGGTGACGCCGTGCAGCCGTCGACGGATCTCGGCGACACAAATATACCATCGCAGTCTGGCATGGTTGGAATCGGGTGTACAGCGACGCGGTGGTGGGGACAGGACTGACAGAGTCGATAGCCACCGTGTAGGCGGCGGCGTACGACGACGATGAACAGTGTTGGTTCGGTTGAACACATTCAGAGCTGGGTCATGTTTTGAGAATTTGACATGCTTAGGGGACTATTATGCAATATTTTTACTTTATTATATTTTCACTTTAGTAAGTGGGCCTAATATGCATTTTAATGGAAGATTAATAAATACACATTAATGCTGAATAAGATGCACAATATTTATCGGGACTATGCACAATAAAAGCTACATAATATGTTACACATTTAAAAGAAGTGTACAATTTTATTTCATGCATTTCAAAAAAAGATTGATGAACCAAAATAATCGAGAATTTAAAATAAAAAATAGATAATCAACTTGAATATAAAATTTCAAATGGAAATATTTAGTTGATCGATTTCGGTCGTTATTGCTATTGTGCATTTTTATAGTCATTAATGTGCAATTCATCTAACACTATTGTGCAGTTCATCATAATACATAATAAATCATTTTTTATAGCCATTTAAGCGCAATGTGTTGTTTTATAAAGTGCAATGTATTGTTGTATAAGGTGCATCGTAATAATTTATAAAGTGCACTATTTTATATGATCACATATAAATTATTTGTTTTACAAAACTAGTTTTAATACATATAATTGTACATCAAATTAACTTAACTAATTAAAATAATTTATTATGTATTTGATAGAAATCTATTTATTATTTTAATAATTTATATATTATAATAAAAATTTTGTTAACTATTATTAAAAATATATAATTAAGTATTGATTACTATAATATCATTTATAAATGATTATTTTATTATTTTTTCTTGTAAAAGTATAATTTATTATTTATTATTATAATTTTTATATTTTATAATGTTAAAAATATATAAAAATACTATTTCACTGAATATTTCTATTTAATTTTTTGATAATTTTATATTATATTAAAAAAATTAAAAATATATAAATATATAAAAAATACTAGTCTTTACTGCAAATATGTAATGTATATAGATGTGATAGAAAAAACATATATTGCAAATTGAAATCGAACACTAACATGCATTTCATTTTTTTTTTCTAAAATGTGTATATTAATTAAAATTATTGTACATTTATTAAATTATTTGTGTAATAAAATATATAGTCTTTGTAATTTTTGTATTTATTATTTTGTACTATTAATTTAATTGATATTCTCGTGTATGCTAAAGTGCAACTTTACTGGCACAAAAGTGCAACCCGTCAGTCAATAATGTGCAATATGTTCAATAATGTTTTAATTCTTTATTTTATTCTTATTTTAATATTTCTCTTTTTTTTGTTTTATATAACAGATGTATAAAAATAATATACTTTTTGTAAATTACAAATTTAACCCATAGCTTAAATTGAAATTTAAGCAAAATTATTAAATTTACAACTAAGTCCATAAACATATTCTAATTCTCAAAATAGAATCTTAAAATCCAACACCCATAACTCCCGTCTCCAAACAACATTTCTTTCTTGTCACACGAGTAAAATACGCTTTAATGCAAATGTACATTCTTGAACGCATTAAGGTGCATTTGAGGTCAATATAGTGCAATTTGACGGTCATTAATGTGCATAATGTTTAATATCGTTATGCATCCGTTTTGGTTTTTTTTTTTTTTTTTTT